TATATATATATATATATATATATATATATATATATATATAACTAAAAGAGAACAAATTCTTAGAGTTCCTCGAATTGATAGATTATCGATTTTTAATTTTTATTGATAATTCTATTGATAATTATTGATTTTTTTGGAACACAAATTTTAGTAAGACGAAGCACTTGAAGTCACAAAACCCGAATTTTTACGCAGAAAAAATGGTTGTGTAAATAGAATTGGTTAACAGTGCCATAATTGAAGTAAATTTTCTTGACTCAATAGCGATATTATCGATATTAATATTCGAGTTATTAGAACAATGTATGCATGATGTAAATGTGCATGATGTACATGATAAATTGATGTATTAGTTTCAATAATTGATGTATTAGTTTTAATAATATTGCTATTGAACTGAGGAGATTTACTCCAATTATGGCGTTATTGATCAATTATATTAATACTACAGCATTTTTCTGCCTGACGCGACATATTTTCTATTTGATAACATATTTCGTAATTTAAAGTTGTCGAACTTTTAAATTCACCAGTTGCAACCGAATTCCCTCATTTCTCCGTTTTTTGTTTTTTGATCTGTTCTGATGTCTTTAGTCACGTGAATTAGCATTCCCTAACTGGTTGCGTAAATAACTTTCGAGCATTTAACTACGGGAAAGCTCGCGCTTTACGTCATAACGCGTGTACTTTTTAAACGTGTCAATTAGTTGCAGATACGATTGCTCAACTGCTTTCTTTCTTAAAGAACGCGATTACACACTAACGCGGAAATTTGCGCGGGATTACAACGTGTTATTATGGAACACATCGGTGGGGCGAAAGCCGATACATCATAATAATTTCGTCATCGTCAGCGATGACAGAGGTGAACGTAGTCTGGTTGGCTATTTATTGAGACATTGTAAACGGCTATAAATTATGAGCGCTATTATAGCCTCCGGTTGCAACAATATAGCAGTACTTAAATAAATCTCTTATACCGGGAAATATTGTTGTAACGTTTCTTATTCTGTTTTTATATCGTCGCCGTTGTGACCTTTTTACGATTAAAGGGAACAAAAATTTCTCGGAAGATTGAGAATCGACTTATAAACACAACCGCGACTGATCTGGCAGTTGCACAGGGGGCAATTCATTTTTTCTCGAAATTCATTTCGCCATTATCTTGCATAACGAGGTGGCACGTCACATGATAAAAGGCACGGGGTTACCTAGTATATTATATAAAAAGTATATTATCCGGCTTGAAAAAAGTGAAGGGTTTACGGTAAAAAAGAAATACCGTTCGCGACGAAGAATTTCTATTATGACGTCTGATTTCCGATGTAATTAGGTAGAAAATTATACGAAGCAAAAATTAAGTTTGGAATAAGCCGTAACTATGCACGTATCCGTGCTGTCCACCTGCGATGCTATGCGCATCGGTAGATCAAATTATACGAAATGAAGCGTGTTGCGTGCATTCCGTGACTTGCACTCTGCATATATTCTCGACATTTGAATATTTTGACGGGATAAGCACGCGAGTAAAAAAGTTGCATGTTACGAAACATGTAAATATCACGCGTAAAAAATTTTTACTGATCCATGTCAGTAAAAAATTTTTGTACGTGGTGTTTGCTCGAGAATTAGACATTTGATCACGCAGATACTGGCAGATATAAGAATGTTGCGAAGAATTAAGTGAACGTTTCTTTTTGGCGTCCTAATTTAAGCACGTTTCTATGCAGCAGAAATATAATTCGGAATCTTATTACATGTCATTCCAAAGTTACTAACATAAAATTACCATCTGATAATTATATGGCCCGCTATTCTGCCATATGCATATCATTTGCATATAATATGCATATATAAAAACTGGATACACGTTGAATTCTATATTTTTATATATTTTTTATATATTTTATATATATTCTATATTTTTATATTGTGGCTGCAAATACAGTAATCTATATATTTCTTTATGATGACTGAGCAAAATATTTTCTTATATTTATAATTTGTGACACTAATTTGCTAAAATTGTGTCAACAATAAACGTAAATGGTAAGAAATTTTGTGTTGCAAACGGTCCGAAATCCTAAATTTCTCCGAAATTTTTGTGTTATTTTAACATGAAAAATATGTTGAAAAGTACACAAATATGTTAAATTAATATATTCGCCTTGTGAAAGTAACACAAAAATTTGGATAGACCGTTTGTAAAATAAAAATTTTCTACTGTGTAACGATCACTTTTATGTGTAGCGACTTGAATCGTATAACGCATGCCAGGTTTAATTAGTAAGAAAATATAAGAACAATAATCTTACGCCGGTAATCTATGAAAATTAAAAGACATATGCTCTTTTGCTGACAAAGCGGCATATTTGTGCGGAGAAACGAATCTGGAAGAAAAAGAATACACGTTCTCTCAACTTTATGCATTTGTTCATCTTTTGTAAGTGAACGTAATATTGCGTATAATTTAATATAACCCCCGAAGGCCGTTCATTAATAGCCTAGAAGAACTAACGTAACAAGCGTGACAATTCAGCGAGAAAACTAGCGCATAATACGGCAGTAGCTGCTCACCAAGGTAGAACATTTAATTTCGATCGATATCGGCAACACACGGCGAAGAAAGCGGGCTTAATATTTCGCGGTACGTGTACTCACCGTCTCGCTGGTGCACTGGCTCTGCTGGTCACAAAAAATCAGATGTAAACTCCACTTTGTTTATCGACGAGGTCCGCGCGTTTACGCGCGCGCGCGTCACACACGCGTTGAAGTCTCCGCGATCGACGTACTGCACTCCACACTTCGTGCACCGTGCGCACACCACCCGCTCGATCGTTTGCTCGTTCACTCGCGCGCCTGCCTCGGCGAATTCGCTGCAGCCCCCGAGAGCGACGGAGAGAGAGACAGAGACTGATGGAGGACGGAAAGAGAGAGAGAGAGAAAACTTCTAACGAACCCGAGTGGAATTTTCGTCTAATCCCGTCACCGGGCTGCGCCTTTCTCCGAGCTGCGTGCGTTGCAAGCCGCTCGGTTGAACTGCTGCACTTCCTGCGTTCGCGTTCCCGTTAAACGCGCGCCGCGTCCGCCGCGAAGAATCGATCTCGTGTTAGCACACCTGACGAAGGTCACAAAATTGATGTTCTCGTGGAAATCACGGCGGATATGTAGAAAGAGAGAGACAAGAGACGCAGTCAGGTATTGTTTTTTTTCCGATCCCACTTTTCTCACCGTTCTCTTTTCCTCCTTCGTCTTCTTCTCCCCGCTCGTTCGCTGCACGCGTGTCGTGATCACTCGGCTCGCCGTATGATCCTCGCTCGCACTGCCCGCACCGTTGCAGCTTCTTCACATCACCGGCGAAGCACTTATCGCACGTACGTGCACCATCCGTGTTGCAGGCGTCTCTTGTCGGCTGGTACCAACTGGTCGCGATCGCGCATTTGCAACGTCTGCACCGCAACCGCACGTCGCGATAGCGATTGTGATAACGGTTCCTCGATAGAGGAGGACGCGATGTTAACGGGAGATGATGGTAGCGTGCGTGTGAGGATCCCCGTCCGAGATCGGCGAGATCGCTTTGCAATAGCTCGCGGTGTTACGGTGAACGCAGACGACGCTTGTGTCCGAGACGAATGCGAGAAGAAGTCGCGTCGGACGGGTCCACCTCTGACGCTCCCTCGCGCGCCCGCCCGCTCCGCACTTACGATGTATCCGCCGCGCTGCAGCGCGCCGCGACTCGTTCACCTTGCAACGCACGCGACACCCTACACGATCGAATCTCACGATCTGGTTGGCCACGCCGGCCGTTGCTGCTGGTACCAGCGCGAGGAGAGACGGCAACTTTCCCTCTGTTCGGCGGGTTATCACGCGGCGTTCTCGCCGCAAGCATGAAAAATGCGGCTAAAAAGGAGAAGAAGAAGGAACAGACAGACGGGCTATTTCGAGGGGATAAGCGGCCGGCCGAGTTGGCTCGAGCGGATGAAGGCTCTTTTACCTGGCGACCGGTGTCTCTCGGTAGGGACAGCCACGGCCGTTCCTCTCGCGGGAATAGAAATCTCGGTGAACGTCGATATCCGGTGATAGCTCCGAGAAAGAGAATCAGCCGAGGGAGGGTGGGCAGGTTCGGGACGGGAACGAGATTCGTCGGGAATCGGATAACGGATAGAAGAACGAACGTGTGAATACGTTGAGGACGACGCTGTTGCGCCTCCGTCTGTCAGCTTCAGATGCGTCCGAATCCTTCGAGTGTATAAAAGTGGATTTGCATTCTATCAACTCGACTTACGGTTATAACGATACTTTATGCACATTTCGAGTTTGTTTATACGCGCGTATAACAAATTTCTCTTCCTCTCTCATTCTCTCTATGTGAAAACTTCGTCAGGGGATTTCTCTTGACGATTCTACTTGTAAAGTCGTAGATTTTAAACAACTGGATGTAGATGCAATCGAAGGAGGGAAACTCGATACGGTTATATCCATTATTACTCGAATAATATCGACATCGGCCGATCTAATCTCGATTTTACGTAAGTCACGAGCCGATCTCGTAACCGCATTACCAACACGCTGCAATGGAAAGCACTGACCGCACGGCATATATTCATACGTGACTATATTACATTCATCGAGCGGGCATCAGTTCTTTAATTGTGTACGTGTGCAATCGCAACGTGTGACTCGTTCTAAAGTTTCCGCATGAAACGTTGTTGCATTACGAAGCGAGTCGAATAAATTTCGCGGTGACGATTCAGCGGATTCAGCAGGAAGTAACGGTATTCCCGTCAGCGTATTACCGTATTAAAAAAATGAAAAATATCGCTCTGAACGTAATCCGAATTATATCGAGATGTGTAAAGAATACTCCGAAAGAATAGTGACACATGATGATTAAGATGTTCGAGATTTGCAAAAATTCGTTGAATTTTTAGCCATATTTTTATTATTAATTGTAACTTTTATTAATAATTAATAATATTAATGTCATGTTCAGTAAAAATATCTGTCGATTACTTTTTGCGACCTGTGAGAGATGTTTGTTTGATTTTGTGTCTGTAGAATGACTCATCTTTTGAGCCAATAAAATCATCAACGGATTGACGCACTTCTATCAGTCTCTGACAAATTAAATCTAATTTTTTCTCGCCCTGAAAAAGCGGAAAAATGGCACTCTAAATTTGAATTACGGTTTTTGTCGCGTGACTTTTATACCAAGTTTGTGGGTCACGATTGCATTATTTATTCTGCAATCGTTTGGATTATAACTATGATGACATTCAAAAATAAGTATGGTAAGGGGATTGTAATATAATCGACTCAGCATAATCAGCGAAATACCAAGTTTGAATTATAACAAATTGAGCAAACACATCACATGAATAATTACATTATAAAATGATGTGTTAAACACACACGTTATCGTGACGGATATTAATAAGAACTGATAATGACTTCGAGATATATATAATAAACTTTTTTTGTTATGAATAACAAAACGAGTTCGCAGAAAAACACACAATGTATGTTTTCTTTTTTTCTTCTTTTTCTCTCTCGCTGAAAGAACGCGTTAGTTCATCGGCTCAAGAATAGAGCGTCCTTTTTGCGTTTATGCGTGCGGCTCGAGATGCAATTTTGTTTTTTTTAGATCATGGCCACCGCTGGCCAAGTAAGTGGAACAACGTAATCATCGATGTTGCCCGTGCAGAGAGATCGAGTCGTTATCCTTCTGCCGATGCATCGACTCATCCAATGTCGCGAATTGTAACACAGTGGCAATTAAGACAATTAATTTGCCGTAAAAACAAGCAAAAGATCATAATCTGCCAACAGTTTTTTGTTCCTTGTACGTGACCACAATGACGTACGTGACCGCAATGATATACGTTAACCGTGCCTTACTGGTTTAACATGAAAATTAATTTCCTTGTATATCATTCTATTGTATCGCGAATAACGGATTATTATTCCCCAATGATTGAAGCGATATTATTATGTATCGACGATCTCATCTGTTCTTTCTACTGTGATTATTTTTTATCAATCTGTTCATTTTCTCAACAAGTCTTCTACAATATGAGAAAACTTCGAACATATACATAATGCTTGGCCGTTCCTTTTTAATTCTTTCCTAATTTTAATTTAATATATTAAATATCAAGAAATATGTTCTCTCTCGATTATTTGACAGTAACCACTCACTCATCCTCTCTCTCTCTCTCTCTCTATCTATCTCATGTTACTGATCAGAACTTGGCAGCTATGATTAATTCTCTAATGCCGTTCATTTTCAAACACGATCGTGTTAAATTTTGCTTATATATACATATATTCTCTCTCCTTGTTTTTAATATTCTTTCGTACTTTTTACATATACATTTACGTGCATATACTTTTTATAGCATTTATGCGGTAATAAACAATCTTATTTAACCCTTTGCACTCGAGGGCTCCGGAGCAGAGCCATTTAAAATTTGTCTTCAAACTCTTCAAACTCAAATGCAAATAGCAAGAGCGGAATATCCTATACACAATAGTTTTTACGATCTGTCTTTGTCCTTATGTTATGAACTGAAAGTTATTTGCATTGTCTCCATAGCGGAGCCCTCGAGTTTGAAGACAAATTTTAAATGGCTCCGCTCCGGAGCCCTCGAGTGCAAAGGGTTAAAAAGATTCATCTTATTTAAAGAAAAGAGAATAACAAAATTGATATACTAATATGTTTTTTAAAGTTTCTAATGCATTTTGTTTAAATGCAGCATTGGAGGGTCGACATTATATGTGTAATGTCAGGTTGCGCGGTGCATAATGAAATGACAGGTTCATGCCGATTGCGTTAAAAATCAGAGAAGTTAATGCCGATTGCGTTAATAATCAGAGAAGGATTGTGAACGTGTTTGTCTAACGAGCGAATATGAACTGATCGAACGGACAATTTGACTCGTTTCAATGAATGTTCGGATCGATCAAGGTGTAGACTTTCACTTATATGTCAAAACCACGTTGAACCACTTTCGCGATGACCCTGTATTGAATATACCCGCGGCTTTGTCTCATGTTCGCGAAATCGCTTTTATGGCTTATATCGACATCAGCAAATTCGAAGGCCAAATAATGCATTGATAGCAAATTTTTCTTGATTCTAGCCTGACAAAAATACTAAAAAAAACATATATATATATACATTTTTTAAATATGATTCTATGTTGTCTTGAAAAACTCGCTGCTAATTAAATAAAGTATAGTATCGTTATTAACCCTTTGCACTCCAGTGGTGACTCTCACTCACCATGTGGTGCCATTTTCGCGCCGCGCGAAAAAGGCCCGGAGTGCAAAGGGTTAATATTACCAAAACCAGACTAGAATGTATATGATATATACATATTTTCTTGTCTTAATAACGTTATACAAATAATAGCGTTGAAGCGATATGTGAACGGCACATTTGCGTGATAAAATGAAGAAAAGAGTAATTAACACATTCGTTATCAGGGTCTGAGAAGAAAACCTTGCATCACAGCCCAGGGTGTTTTTTGTTAGAATATGTTCCAATTGACATGGGTTTTTTTAGGATATATTTATAAAAATGTAATTATCTCTAGATCAAAGGCATCCTACATCTATTTTATTATTTTTTAGCTCAATAATATTATTCATTTCCAAATTTATTGCAATACGTTATCATAAACTGATAAAGAACACGCACTGCACATCTGCGGCGGTGGGCTCAGATACAAGAATCGGGACACCGCATATATGCGGCCGTGGTAGCAAACGTGTTAAAGAAATAATGTTTCTGGATAAATGTCGACCGATTTGTATTGATAAACACGTTCACA